TAGTAATATTGTGGCTTAGTTTTTGTGTCTTGTGAAGTTTCCAGTCCTAGTCTTTGAATTTGATGATTAGAGCCATCAGTGGCAGTACTTGTATTGAAGCTTATGATTTGTTTCAAGGGCTCAGTTTCTTCTGAGAAGATCAGGAACTTGAGTATCTTAATATGCATAGGCACTGATTTAAAACAGAGAGTTGGAAGTAGAAAACAGTGCTTTTTTATCTAGAAGAGAAATCCTAGGATTTTTCTATTCTATTTTCTGTTAAAGCCTATAAATGAAAATATAAAAAATGTTCCATGTACAAAATTTCTTTGTAAAGATCCAACTGTGCAAAAGAGGGAAATTACTTAGACCACAGTGTAAGTGCCTGCAATAAATTCTGAATGATCGTTACAAATTTACTCTCACAGATAATTTAGAACATACAAAACAAGCACTGGCACTCAAAGTCCTTACAATAATTGCAAGCACTAACTGTAAGGCCATGTGCAATTATGTAACAAAATATAATTGGACCATAAGTAGAGAGATCTCAGATTTTTCTTCTGGAATGATCTGTCAGCAGAAGATATCTCTCAAATTTTTAATTTTCTCTGAGGAAAACCATTTTATCAGATAACCAGTTCATGTGGTTTAGCTACAGCCAGCAACTCACTCACTTCTCCCTTCTCCCAGTGGGAAGGGAAATAGGGAAAAAATAACACTTGTGGGTCAAGATAAAGACAGTTTAATAGGCAAAGCAAAAGCCATGGACACAAGCAAAGCAAAACAAGGGATTCATTCACCATTCCCCATGGTCAGACAGGTGTTCAACCACCTCTAGGAGAGTAAGGCTCCATCATGCATAACAGTGACATGGGAGGACAAACACCACCACTCCAAACATCTCCCCTTTCCTTCTTCTTCCCCAGCTTTATATGCTGAGCATGATGTCATATGATCTAGGATATCCCTTTGTTCAGCTGGGGTCAGTTTTCCCAGCTGTGTCCCCTCACAAATTCTTGTGCACTTCCAGCCTGCTTGCTGGTGGAGTGAGGTGAGGAGAAGAGAAAGACTTGACTCTGTGTAAGCATTGCAGTAACAAAAATAGCCCTGTGTTGTCAAGCTGTTATCAGCACAAATCTACAACAGAACCCCATTGTAGCCATCGTGAAGAAAATTAACTCTATCTCAGCCTAAACAGGAACATCAATGTAGCAGAAAGCAAAGAGGAAACTGAATAATACTGTCTCTGAAATATGTTTTCTGTAACATCTTTTCCATCAAAGAAAACACTAAATATATTAAATATATGTAGAAAATAGAACCATAAGATTGCCTCTAATATCCATGGTGATAATCTTCACTTTCTTAGTGGAAAGATGTGTAATCATTGTCTACATACTGCTGGTATTCTTCAAACGTGTTAGTACCTTCCTCTTCTAATTTCTGTGATTTGTTTTTTTTTCTAGATTGTCCTTACGACTTCACATGTGTTGACAAAAAAACCCACCAACTTTAAAAGAATTTTCAGGTCTAGGTATATCAGCTTATTTCAGAGTATGCTTTACACTTCTGTTTCTTTCTGAGCTAAGTTACACTAGTGTAGAAGAACCAGATTTTTTTCCCTTTTATGTCTTGAGGCAAATCAATGTTCTGAATAAGTGAAACAGATGTTTTTGATCTAAAAAAATGGAACTTTTTTTCACAGAAATGAGGATGAGTATCTCAGTAACTGTGAAGGAATAACTGTAGAGCAAAAGGCAAGATCCTCTCATCATTTACAGCCCTCAGGGAATATCAGTCTCACTTGATGAGCTGTTTGGACAAGCTCTGTAGCAAATTTGGGAAGAAAACAAACAGAAAAAATATTTTCCTCCCGAGAAAATGTCAAGACATTTAATATATTAGTAATAAAGGATGCATTATACTTTTCAGAGAAGCATAATTGCCTTTAGTTCAAGGTATGATATGTCGGATGCATATCATCCTTTCTCATTCTGATTATTATACTGTATCAGAATTGTGCAAGATAGCTTCACTCTTCTCCTGATTACTGACAAGTTTTATTTCTTTATTTGACTTTACAGCAGTACTCATGATATTGTGGTTCTTTAGGGAGACCAAAGATGCACATCCTAATAACAAGACTTGGTGTTTTTTGCTGGAAATACATCCTGCTCCCTTCCAACTAACATGGTATTTTCCTGTATTTTGAATGTATCATTCAGGTATCAAATTAAGTGATAAGTGAAGAAAAATTATACCATCCAAGATACACCATCACGTTATATTTTATTAAAACTGTGAGATTAAACTTGTTCTTGTAAACTTAACTCATGATGCTATGCTGGACCTTATTCTCACTAACAGGGAAGGGATGGTGACCAACGTGAGGTTCAGGGAAAGCCTTGGCTGCAGTGACCACGAAGTGATAGAATTCCAAGCTTATGACCCTGGACTTTAGGCATGCAGACTTTGATTGCTTCAGGGATCTGCTGGCCAAAGTGCCGTGGGACAAAGCCCTAGAGGGAAGGGTGGCCCAGGACAGCTAGTCAGTATTCAAGGATCATCTTCTCCGTGTCCAGGAGCAAAGTATATCAACAAAGAGGAAGGCAGGAAAGAATGGGAGGAGATCTGCCTGGATGAGCAAAGAGCTCCTGGACACACTGTCACACAAAAAGAAACTTTACAAGGAGTGGAAGATAGGACACCTAGAGTGGGGGGAATGTAAGGAAGCTGTATTAGCAGCAAGAGACCTGGTTAGAAAACCTAAACCTCACTTAGAATTAAGTCTAGCCGGGGAGATCAAGGGAAACAGCAAAAGTTTCTACAGGTATGTTAATGGCAATAAAAAGACTAGGGAAGGTCTGGACCCCCTCAGAAAGGAAATGGGTGAACTGATGACAAGTGATTTGGAGAAGGCCAAGGTTCTCAACGACTTCTGTTCCTCTGTCTTCACTGGCAAAGTCTCCGGCCACACTCCCGTAGTCACAGAAGATAATGGCAGGGGTTGGATGAAAGAACTGCCCACTATAATCGAAGATCAGGTTCGTGACCAGCTGATGAACTTGAAAGTGTACGAGTCCAAGGGACCCGATGAGATACACTCATGGGTACTGAGGGAACTTGTGGATGAGGTTGCTAAACCTCTCTCTATTATATTCCAAAAGTCATGGCAGTCAGGTGAAGTCCCCACTGACTGGAAAAGGGGAAACATAATCCCCATTTTCAAAAAGGGAAAGAAGGATGAACTGGGGAACTATAGGCCAGTCAGTCTCACCTCCGTGCCTGATAAGATTATGGAGCAGATCCCCCTGGAGGCACTGCTGAGACGTAAGAATAATGAAGAGGTGACTGGATGCAGTCAACATGGCTTCACCAAGGGCAAATCATGCCTGACAAACCTGGTGGCCTAAAAGAGGGTCACAACATCAGTATACAAGGGAAGAGCAACTGACATAATTTACTTGGACCTGATCAAAGCCTTTGACACTGTCCTACACAACATCCTGGTCTCCAAGCTGATAAAATATGGATTCAATGGATGGACAATTCAGTGAATAAAGAACTGGCTTGACAGCCGTACCAAAAAAGGGGCTGGCAAAAAGGGCCTGGTGACAAGTAGAGTCCCTCCAGGATCACAACTGGGACCAGTCTTGTTTAACATCTTCGTCAGCGACATGGACAGTGGCTTCGAGTGCATCCTCAGCAAGTTTACTGACAACACCAAGGTGTGTGGGGAGGCTGACACTCGGGAGGGTAGCGATGCCATCCAGAGGGACCTCGACAGGCTGGAGAGGTGGGCCTATGCCAACCTCATGAAGTTCAACAAGACCAATTGCAAGGTCCTCCATCTGGGTTGGGGCAATCTCAAGAACCAATATAGGCTGGCAAGTGACTGGCTTGAGAGCAGCGCTGAGGAAGAAGACTTGAGTGTTCTGGTGGACAAGAATCTCAACATGAGCCATCAGTGCGCACTTGCAGCCCAGAAAGCCAATCATATCCTGGGCTGCATGAAGAGAAGCACAGCCAGCAGGCCGAGGGAGATGATTCTCCCCCTCTACTTCAACTCTCGTGAGACCCCACCTGGAGTACTGCTTCCAATTCTGGAACCTCTACTACAAGAAGGATATGGACGTGCTGGAGTGTGTTCAGAGAATGACCATGAGGATGATCAGAGGGCTGTAGCACCTCTCGCATGAAGATAGACTGAGAGAATTGGGGTTGTTCAGTCTGGAGCAAAGAATACCAGAGAACGCTCTTCGAAGAAGGAGAAAGTGTGAGAGAAGTATTGTGAGAAAACTGGGCGTCCGAAAAGCAGACTTTAGTAAACTCAGGTATAGAAAGTAATATAAGGAACACATTGCAGTATATCTAGTATCAATTAATATGATTGTTCAAAGCACAACACTAAACTAGCTCGGTGTCAGAGAAATACAGCAACACTGAGAGAGACTTCTGCAGCAGAAAGGAATTGCAGGAATACTGGAAACTGGCATATGTCTAAGAATAATTCTGCAAAAGAATAGAATTTTTCTATAGATAAAATTAGAAAGAGCAGGGAGAAAAATTGCTTAAAACTAGCAAGATGCATGAAAAGCACCTAGGAATAAGTTCTGCAAGAGCATCAGAAATAAGACAAACTCAGTACTCATTTCTGAACAGAGTTTAGAAATTTCCTTTAAGGCTGTGTGAGCATGCATTTGTCTATACATTGATATGAGGAACAAATTTCCTCACTAGCAAAATGGAAATATTTCAGATGGTTTTAAACTAAAACAGAGTAGATTCAGACTAGATGGAAAGAAGAAATTTTTTGCAATGAGGTTGGTGAAATACTGAAACAGATTGCCAACAGAGGTGGTGGAGGCCTCATCCCTGGGGACATTCAAGGTCAGGTTTGATGGGGCTCTGAGCCACCTGATCTACTTAAAGATGTCTCTGCTTACTGCAGGGAAGATAGACTAAATGAGTCTCTTCGATCTCAAAATATTCTGTGATTCTGTAATTTTATGAACTAGTTACACGAGAGGCTGAAGCTGTAGATTTTTTTCTGTTTAGCTCTATCGAATTAGTGAGGATCTTATGTAATGAGTTTCTAAAACTCAGGTAAACTAGAGAAGGATCAAGGGAGGACTGAAACAATTCCTCTCATTATAAGAGCTTATAATACATATAGAGCCAAATGACATACAATGTTATTGAGAAACATTGAAACGTAAAAGGCGGTAGTGTAAAAACAAACACTAAAAAATATCTGCATCTACCCCGTCAGGATTACAGTTTGTCAGGACAATGGGTGCAGGAGAGGACAAAAAATCCTTCCCCCATAAAGAACTTTTTATCGTCTATATCCATGATACTTAGACCTAGGATATCTAGTCACACGGCTAAATACCTTCTTCAAGCATTGGCAGTAAATAGCTGGCTCATGTCCCAAAGAATGAGACTTTAAGTGCTTTATAAATATTTAATCCTACCTACTGTAAGTATAGATACACTTAATATCCATGTAACTGTCTAATCTTATTCTGAGTCTTGCTAGATTTTTTGTTTATTCCAAGTCTGGCTATTTTTATCTTTGGATGATCTTGTTTCTGGTGAAGTCATTAGAACTAAAGCATAGATCCAAATATGAACTGTTAAAACTGTATGTTTGAGCTTGCAGTGACTTGTTATACATTTGATATTAGGATTCAACTGCATAATATGCACATGGAATTTCATAACATATTTCATTTTTAGATTGGCTTACAGATAAGGAAATAAAACATTATAGACCTTGTTCCAGTTCCTTCCAGGAAACAGCATGAGTTCTCACAGTTCACATGTAGATGGATTTTTTTGTGTAGTCTTTTCACTAGTGTTGGAGTTACACAGTAGCGAGAAAGATCCTTAAATCTAGTCAATCATTAGCCAGACTATCCTGAATTTTTCTGATGACTTATATGATTGGGCTACTCATCTGTTTTGTGGCCCACGTTACAGAATACAGCAAATTTTATCTCTACAACCAGTAAAACTGAACCAAAGAACAGCAGTGATACGTGAAACACTCCTCTTAACACTGGTAAAAATAAAAATTAATTTAATCCTAGTACATATTTGTGACAGAACTCTGAACCCGCTCTGAGGTTTGAGGTCAATGTCTGTAGACAACTTTATATATTGAGCACAGGAAAACTGTCATGACTTTAAGGACAAAAATGTTTTTCTTTAAATATATACAAGAGGAGCTTTTTTTAAGACCAAGAGAAATAAGAAGATGTATTAGCAGACAAATTACAAGAAAAACGCTAACTCCAGGCAGTCTGTTGTAAATTCTTAGAGGGAAGGAGTTCCCCAGAAGCCTAATCAAGGCCCATCCAACCTGGCCTTGGACACTTCCAAGGAGGAGGCATCCACCACTTCTCTGGGCAACCTGTTCCCGTGTCTCACTACTCTCACAGTGAAGAATTTCTTCCCAATATCTAATGTAAATCTACCCTCTTTGAGTATGAAAGTGTTACCTCTTGTCTTGTCACTACACTCCCTGATAAAGACTCCCTCCCTTTCTTTACCATAAGCCCTCTTTAGGTACTGGAAGACTGTTTTTATATCTCCTTGGAGCCTTTTGTTTTCCAGGCTAAACAGATCCAACTCTCTCAGCCTGTCCTCATATGGGATGTGTTCCAGCCCCTTGATCATCCTCATGGCCCTCCTCTGGATTCGCTCCAAGAAGTCCTTATGCTGAGGGCCCTAGAGCTGTACACAACACTCCAAGTGAGGTCTCATGAGAGCAGAGTAGAGGGGGAGAATCACCTCCCTCGACCTGCTGGACATGCTTCTTTTCCTTTCTCTGCCTCTTCCATCTCTGCCCTCTCAAATCTTTCAGGTTCCCTCAGGGGAAGCTCATGGTGCTAGAAGGCGTCTTCACCTCCAGAGAGCAACACTTAGGATAGGGCAACCAGCAGCCTCATCTGCCCAGCCACATACTCTCAAAAGAGCATACCATGAGAAAATGTGAATATATATCACCCATCAGAGTCTGCATTGCTACCCCTCTAGACATTTGTGGTATTCCAGTAAAAAGGAATAGAGGATTTCATGTGATGTAAACTGGGCTTCCCTGTATAAGCATAAGAAGCATCTTCAAACCAAAGTTAAATCCACTGAGCATTGCAAAAGATTTGCAGTGTTGGTGTTTGGCTTTTAAAATATATTCATAGACTGATTCGCTTCACTTTGATCTTATCTGGGTTACTTCTGTTACCTACAGCAGAGTTAGGTTAGCATTTCAGTTGACAGAACTATTTTTTTTCCATTTTACAAGCATGGTTATCCAGAAAGATATTTTTTATAATACTTCTGCCTAATAAATTTTACTAAGTGAATAATGTTTTTCTCTGTGAGCTGAAGTAAAAGAAAATTTGCTTTTCATAAAATAGCTGTAATGAGACTCCTGCTCTGCCATATCACTATTAGGAAAGCAGTAATTACAAGATTTCTAACAATATCAGTATTTGAGGCAGATCTTTTTCTCAGGAAGAAACAAGGTTAGATGGGACTCTGCTGGAAGTTCTTTTATTTGCTATGATGCCAAACATCAAACTATGAAATCTTTTGACTCTCATTATTAATTTCTGCAAGGGATGTAATGCTTTCTGTTGAGTTGTTTTCAAGTCAGTGGGGAAAAAGACATATCACTTTATCAGCAGGGAAGGAGATGAGGAAAATTAAAGAAAATTTGTTGAGATGTAAACAAAGCAGCAGCTTGAGCTGGAGGGTGAACTGTAAATTACAATATGGTAGTGAGAAAAAGAACAATTTGCAAAAATAGCTTTATAAAATGTTAAGTATCAAAGCAAAAAACAACAGGACATTTTTAAAGCTTATTTAAGCAATAAACTAAAATGGTATTTAAGTGTATACAACAAAAAAAATGCTTCTACCTTAAAGCACAGTACACTTGCTTCCTCATATTACCCTCATACTGCTTCAGGTTTAACTCTAGAATCATGCTAGAGGTTCTACAGTACTCGTTTTTTTGGAATATGTAAAAATGGAGCTTGTATATTTTAAGTGGTTTCATCTAGATTTTGAGTTATTAAAACATGATTGGAAATAAATTGCTTGACAGGCTTTTAGTATGTTGTAAATTTTGTTATTTTTTGATAGAATGTCAATTGAAATAGCTTAAGTGGACGATTTCCCTTGATATATGTAGGTGTGCTATTCATTAGAACTGCCAGAGTAAAACAAAACTCGAGTTTGGCTAGACTGACACAGAAAAGTGTATACACTTTTGAAAAGTGTTCTCTACTTCTGCATCAAAGATTTTTGTTTCCAAGTAAGTTTAAGCACACCATCATGTAGTTTATCCTCTTTTCTCTTTACTGCAAAATGGCTGACATCGTATATTATTTTCATATTTATTAAAATACTATAGCAGATAAACACCTTTATATTTATAGATATTCTTATGTGTAAATTGTGCTGCTGAAGAAGTCAAGTAGTATTTACAAGTCTTGATCCAGAGGCAACTGGTTTTGAAATGAATTACAGATTCAGCCCATCCTGACTTTAGGATAGTAACTCTTTTCCCACTGGAGAGAAAAAATTACCACTGCAGGATCAGGGATGTCTTTTAAATGTAGTTATTTTGGGTTTCTTTGCATGTTTGACCTGAAAATCTGGAAAAATAATACACATGTGTATCAGTGAAAAGGAACTCTTTTCTGAAATTGAGTACTTGTGATTTATGTGAAGAACAGAAAGTGAAGAACTGTCGTCTTTGAGAAGTGGTATTTCAGCACACTAACATTCAAAAGATTCAGTATTATAATGATAGGGCTAGGACAAAGGTTGGACTCCATGATCTTGATGGTCTCTTCCAGCAGAAACTCTTCTATGGTTCTATGATTCTATAATATTTGAAAAAGTCTGAAGAACAGATATGAGTGATGTGATGATTGCAGGCTGTCTTAGGTATAGCAGTCAAAAATGATAGTGTTTTCCACTCTCATAAGTAAGGAGGGAGGTCAGAACTGCTGCTTTGGGCTTCCAGAGGGAAGACATT